AATCTGCTAATTTCAGATTAAAACAATGAAGCTTCTGGGTATAAATGATTTCATTTTTTTGATTATTTAGACACTGTGCTGTTCACCATCACAGAGAAATCATCTTTGTTATTAATATTTCTTCTGGTAGGAATCAGAACAAAAAAAGCTAATTAATAAATGATGACATGGAAATTACAAAACAGATTGATGACTTGTGGGTATGACTCTGAATAGTGACATTTTACAATCTATTCAAGAGCATTGCTAACAGGTGAGATTTAGTTTACAGTATTGTCAGAAACACTTATAAAATGCTTGAAAAATTGTTATTTTTATGAGTCATACTTGCTATTTCATGAATTTACTGTTGTAGTTCCTTTTACATATGTTCTCAGGCTGTACTCCCCAACATAATAACTGCTCCGTTCATAAACTACATGACTATAATGTTCATTTCCAAAAAACACAGTTTGGTTCAACATTTGTCTGGTTTCAATCTATTTTTCTATTATTAATACAGCCGAAAATAGATATGGAAAATAACAACAAAAAGAGTTCCCAAGTTCCTCCATCAGACTGAACCCAACAACATTTATATGTTAAATCCAGTTGTATTTCTTAGCATCTAAATCAAAAGACTGAGAAACAACCTATGAAAGCACACCAGCTCCTGTTTGGAATGAACTTTTACCTGCTGACCCTGTCTAATCCTTCTGTCTAATGTTATCTGCAGTTTTCTGTGCACTACTACAACACTGAATTCCCTTTGTCTCACTGTACTCAAAGTGCTTGTATCTATCACAAAGGCATAAGAAGCAGAGAACAAAAAATTATTTTGGTCATTGTCTTCAAAAACTGAAATGCAATACATTCTGGCTACTGTCCAAATGCATTTTAAAATGAGAAAGTTTTGGTCATGTTCATTGTTTTGTGTCTATTGAGCAGCAACATTTAAGGAGAGGAAGTGATCTGGAAAGTTTATAGAGTTATTTTCAGCTGGTCAATGTACAGTAGTGTTTGCTGGTTCTAATCAAGACTGCCCAAATTCAAATGTCAAATACTTGCAACTATCTGATCAAAAATACATTACAAACAGAAGATTATTCAATTCCTTGTTGAACAACCTAAAACAACAACTCTGAGAAAAATCACAAATAATTATTGGGTTGTCTGTGAATATAAAAAAAGAGTTTTCAAATAAATCCTTTGATCTGACTTATAGATCCACGTACCCAGTGATACACTTACACAATACAATTTTTAGTACTTCCATCTATTTTCCTGGACTATTATTTTGGCTTCACAGACTTCCCCAGAAGCATCCATTGTCTTTCACTAGCTAAAGAAAAAACACTTTGCTGAAAAATTTTGTTTGGAACAAGCATGCAATACATGTGCATTTATTTAAATGCATTATTTCATTGCATTTCTACACATTATTTAATTCAATTTGATTTATTACACTACTGTCTTCTGATGCTACACCAGAGGTGCACTCAAGGGACATGGACCAGACACTAAGTGTTTCTCAAGCATCACATGCACGTTCAGTAATTTATTAACAGGTATTAGAGACACTAGTAAGGCAGACAGACACCTAACAATGACAAAGTAACGAGATGATTACTGCCTTCTCACTCCTCCCCATCTATGCTAACTGTTGCAAATCACAAACTACAGACTCCAGCTACCCCATGAAAAAACACTGTACATAGCACGTGCCCTATGGGGGCTCCTTCATTATGACCCCCCCTACATTAACCTATGTAAGAAATAAAAAGTCATTTCTGTACCTCTACACTGAGTGGAAGTACCACATCACTGAAATTCATACAAGCCCTTACAAAGAGATACTGCTTTGACAGGGAAGTCTTCAGAGAAACCCTGCAAACCAGTGTTAGACCCATGTGTGACTCACTCCTGAGTTGCTCAAGCTCCAGCTCAGGCCAGCAGCAGTTCATTACCTGGGTCAATACCACAGAATCTTCTCACCAGAAAGGACAGCTTTTTAAAATGGAAAGAAAGGACACTACAAGGGGCTCTGAGGGTGAGGTTTCAGTTGGAGAAAGGTGTTAGCTAGCCACTGCTCCCTGCTCACCTCCCAGACAGGCTCCTCCCAGCCCTCTCTCACAGCGTGGGCTGGCATCACGAGTGTGAAAGAGTCATGGCATGGGAGAAAGACACTGGGGTGACTAGAAGCGGGACAGAGAAGGGCTAATGCCTCGTGAACTTCACTCACTATCAACATATATCACAGACAATGATGCACCCCCACACTCCACCCTGCTGCAGGGAAGTTTAGGACAAAGGGATCCCCCGCAGGCTCTGCCAGCAGCAGAGTCCTCTGCCATGGGAGAGGGGACTGAAAAACACGGTCAGTTCCCTTCTGCTTCAGTCGATGTAATTAAAGCTAATTTTTAGCAAGGGAAAGAACAGTCTCCTTGTGAAAAAGGCCTCAAGTATCTGAGCCGTGGAAAGCAGTATGCAACAGCCCAGCATTACACAGCAGAGCACGGGCTGGCAAAGGACATGGGTTCAGCCACGCTGAGGATGGAGAGAACAAGGACAAAAAGCTGTGATGACAAGCTCTTCTGAAGTATGGCTGACACAGACAGCACTGACGGATCAGCTACTTCTAACTTTTAAAGAGAAGTGAACGAACACACTGCATCAAGAAGAGGAAAGCATCATGCTAAAAGTCTTGCGTTTATATGAAAACTAAGACGTCTTAAAGGCAGGGATACACAGAAGACCCAAAGTACCCTAATCAACATATTCTAGACCTAAATGAACTGTTGTTAAGATGATGATACATGGGAGTCGGACATTTAAGGAGGTCCAAAAAAAAATGTATTTTGTGTTCTGGGTTGAGTGAGTGGTGGAGTTTTTTGGTGGCAGGGGAGGGGGCTTCAGGCATTCAGTGGGAAGACTGAGCAACAACACCAGGCACGGACGACAGAATGACTGGATAAAAGACTAGATTTTAGGATATGGAGCTGAATTCTACAAAAGATGCCTAAGTAAATGAACATACCGGCACATAATGCAGCTGCCCTAAATGCTTTCAGCAGAGCAGTTATTTGCACAGAATTCTGAACTGTATAATGCTAAGCATTAGTATAGACCTTATGCTATTTCACCTGTAATTGATATGTCTCACAGTTTCACATGACTCCCTACTGCCTTCCCACTACCAACTGACCACCTATTCCAGGCAAAACACTTTATGAAACTCTGCCGCTTAGTCCAGCTTTTATCCAGGAAAATACACCACATACTGCAATGGGAATCTATTTAAAATAACATTACAGAAGGAAAAAGAGATTATAAACAAAGCAACTAATATTACCGGATGGACAGAAGAATAAATTAACTTTATTCTGCAGCTTTAAGGACTCCACCAGTCCTATCCTACTGGATCAAAAATTCAGAAAAGTTTAAAACTAGTATTAACCAGTGCTTCTCATCTACCTAGTGATATGGATATTGCCTTGTGAAACCTTGTCAGTTAGAACATGACAACAACCACATCTAGTGGCAATATTTGCCTTGGGGTGGCAGGGCTGGAAGAACATCTCAACTTTTTTTTTCTTAGTAGCTAGAACATGCACAGAGTAATTGAAGTGGAAAAGCGTACTGAGAGACTTCCAGTATCTTGTTGAACAATTAAGTGAAGAGGAGATTTTTCAAAGGCATGGCTTCTTAAAGATCATAGCCACAGAGAACAGTCTGATCAGAGATCAACGAGCATCTGCCGTGTTATATGCTTTCCTTCCAAGTTGCAAGTTGAAGCATAAAAACGGATGTTGGCACAATTTTAACAGTGTAAAGTACACGGTGCTCCTTTGCACACATCACTGCTGGACCACATCTACAGTTAGGATCACACATCAGAAGAGACCACTCAGACCAAATTCAGACACAGCTCTCTGCTCTCCAGTATTTTCTAGCTATGTTGTTCTCTAACAGCTGAAGAGGGGGTTTTGACTCATTTTCACCAACTTAAAAGAAAACCACATATATTTTTAATGTATTTCAGGAGGATCCGTGCTCTTCAGACAAAGCAGACATCGTTTTATTTTGTCACAGTCTAATGCCTCATAAATGACACATTATTTTTAACCACTTGCCAATTAACCCTTCTTGTTATTGACTTGAAATTGTTTTCTGAACACCTTGTAAAAGAAGAAATCTCCATTTCAGATATAGTATCAGGCTCTAAAGTTCCGCAATTTTGCCACTTTTGAGATGATAGCACAGTCTCACTGTGACTAAGGACTGCAAAATCGTGCTCCATGTAATTGAATCTAAAGATCTGACAACACTGACCTTATCAAGAAATGAAACTTCTGGCTGAGGTTCAAACCATGCACAAGAAATAAGCTCTTGCCGGTTGTTTGTAAACGTCATATAAAAATGTACTTATTCATTATTAACAACTTGTAAACTGAACACACTGAAGGTCTCAAACTGCTGCCAAGTAAAGTATTACTTAGTACAATAATTTCATTTACATTTAGCTCTCGCATTAATTTTGGCAGCACTACCGAGCATCATGATTGTAAGAGGGCTATTGTAATGAGATAAACATTCAAAGTGCACACTAAAAAGTGAGGATAGAAGAAATGCTAGGGACAGGATTAATTTTGTGAATGCCCATAGTGCTGCTGGCCTCAGTGACAGCCCTACTTCAGTACAAGATGTGCAAAACAAAGGATTCTAGGGAGAACCAGGTCACTGGTATCCCACTTCTGACATAAGGCCAGCAGTGACAACACATGACCTGTACTGGTAAACCATCTACTTTAGGATAAAATAGAATGAAAGGCTCCAAGCAAAATCCCAGGTAATATCAGTACCATGCTTCTGTGAATGTCACGGTCAACTCAAAAATCTGAAAGTTTCATTAAAATTCAGTAAGGAGCTATTGTAATTAATCACAATGCTCTGCAACAGAATACCATTTTAAAAGGAGGCATGAAAAGCCATGGGGCTTTTAAGATGATACCGTTACGCACCTTTCTTGTTCTTGCATACAGCTTTCAGGATGCGGTTTCCAGGTCCACATTTTCCATGGTCAGTCACACATATTCCTTCTGAAACTATCCACTCGTAACACACTGGGTCTTCACAAGGAATAGATTCAATTAAATGTGGACAACTTGCCAGGGTGCCTACGGGGTCTACGATCACTTGCCTTTCTCTCATTCTGAAACCTGGAAAAGGAGAAATGGAATTAACAGGACAACTGCAAGAAATATTTATGCCAATAATCTAGGAGCAAGAGGACTATATAGGGCATCTGGAACTGGGGGATATAAAGACAAACAAGAGTACAACACTTACAAAGTGAATTTATAGGGATGGTACTTGGCTGTACGTGCCCACAGTCCAGGCATGCAAAATCTGACGGTGTGTAAAGAATTCCAACAACACACATTTTCACATTTCTTTTTCCCCTTCATCAATATTGGGTAAAAATGCATGCGTCCAAATACAGGAATTTGCCACTGATGCATATATTAATTGAATAAGAACATTAAGATAAAAAGAGACAAACAGTTAAGGAATTGAAGACATCTATATTCTGTCTGGGAATCCACTAATGAAAAGACTTGTTTTAAGATATAGCAGAGCAGTTTGCTAAGAAATTAGTATTCTGCTTTATGAAGGTGTAAGGATTTCTGATACATAATGCATATCAGACCTGTTTGAACTGACATCCTATTAAATTGGAAGATTCAAATGTAAAGTGGAAGAAAAAGGTTACAGAAGTAATGAAAGAATTGATTACATAATCTACCTCCTCCTGAATAAAACCAAAAGTCATGTTGCTATATAAAATGCAGAACTAATACGCAAGTATCTTTCAGCATGTTTTGTTATGTAAATGACACAGAATTCCAAGAAAGGCAGAAAATACACGATGGTCTTTCCTACAACAGTCTCAGACAAGGGGCAAGTATATAGCATTAGTGGACGCCACGTGGAGATGTCTTGGCCATGAAACAGAAAAGCAAACAAAAAATAAAGCATTCCAGAAAATATAAGACCAAACTTTCACTGTTTTCAAATGAGCAAAAAGAAATCATTCAAAACAATTTAAAAATGAAATGGTTTTGCAAATCTCTATATTTAACCATATATTTTTTATTATTTGTTCTTTAATGTGAAAAATTCTGACCAGCTCAAATCACTTCAAAAACTTTTGCTGATTTCAGAAAAGTGTACTTTCCAAACAATAATATTCATTCCCTGACAAGAACTCCAACAGTCACCTTTTCAACTCAGAGCCTTCTGCAATGAATCTCAAAGTGTTTTGAGATTGCAGCAACAAACATGTATGCTAGTCAATTAAGATCCAGAGCTGGAGTTATGTTATATTTGCATACATTTCTTCCAGGAATTTAAACGAAACCCGGAACACTGAGAAAAATCTCTCAGGTCAGCCTAATTCCAGGATGGCAGGACTGTGGGATACACCCCTGTGCTGACGCCTTTCAACCTCACCCACAAATGCAGGCATGCAGCAGGACTTCCAAGGGGGACTCAGAGGGACAGCCTGGCACTATGGAGCTCTGCAGCTGCTATCCCAAGAAATCCTACTTTCCTACAAGTTCAGTGCAGGATAAAAGGATCTGAATCAGGCTGAAAATAATCTATTTTTTTTTTTCCTTCTCCCAATAATAACTGCAAAAAGCTTTTAAAGGTCATATTCCACTCCTGTACGCACATCTAAGAGCTTCATCCTATGTTAGATTAATTTAAAAAAAAAAAAAATACATTAAGCTCCCAATGTAGAATTTGACACCACTGCTTTTGCAATCTTATTGTAATATTCCATTACACACTTTAGATCCCCCAATGCTGCAAAAGCAATATATCTAAGAGCAGCCGTTACCTCTTCCTCCGTGGCGGTCGTGGCAGTTCTCGTGAAGGCAGGGGCCCCACGCCGACCAGGCAGACACCACGCACTCGGCCGGGCACGGCACGTTACACAGCTGGGAGCCAGAGGGAGGGGGATCCAGGCACAGCTTCCCGTCAACTGGCCTGGTAACTAAGGCAAAAATAAAGAAAGGAAAAAAGAAAAGCAGGTCTATAACTCTGCCCTGACCAATGCACAGAGCTCTGGAGTTTATGGCTGGCCTTCGTTTTCCTGAATGCACCAAAATCCAGTGCTTTCTCGAGGTCTTATATCCCAGAGCAAAAGGTTAATCCTGTGTTCAGCAAGGCACTTAAAGTTTTACCTAAATCATCCATATTCAGCAGGCCAATTAAGACTATGCTTAATGGTAAACAGGTGCTTTAATACTAAATTCAGTGTTGATTTTCTACAATGTTGGAGCAATAAACTGGAATCTAATCCCCTGTATTTATGGCCAAGGAGACCTCTTTACATCGTACTGAGGAGAAAGACGTATAAGAAGGAAATACAAAAAGCTCACACCACAAGCGGGAGCCAAGCAGAGGCAGGTGACAAAAGCCAGAGCATGGGGGAATGTCCCCATAGCCATCCCCTTCAGGGGTGCTGCCACCTCTAGATCACAGATGCAGGGTCCAGACCTTTGAATATTCTTCATCTTCTTTCAATACAATTGAGCAGACCTCTCTGTTTCTTCTACACAGACATATGCAGAAAGCATCTTTCCTGCCTGGGAGGTGAGGCATTTACTTGAGCTGCCTGCACCCAAGTCAGGCACAGATCTCCAAACCTCTTCATCCAAGAGATGAGCTGACCCCAATCTCTGCCAAGTACCAGTTTAGTTGATACTGACAATAAATTTGGAAAGCTGATTCCCTTTGTATCTTCATTTATCATAAGAGATTTCTACTTTCAATTAACTTCTCTCGCCTTTTTATTCAGGGCAGAGGGAGGAAGGAAAAAAAGGGAAAGACTCTTAAATCTATCTTCTGAGTCATGATATGATATTGGAATTTAATTACTTTATGGGCTGAATTTGGCTGTCTCTTTAGATAAATCAATATCAAAGCAGTCTTTCAAAAGGCAAAGGCTTGTTTGAGTTTACTCTGCCATGGTATTACCAAGACTTCATTAATTTCTATAGCTACTGAGTTTGTATTATCCTCGTTTTTATTTTTTATGTCTATTTTTCTTTGCTGCCATGCATGGAGTTGGCTTGAAAAGAATTTATAAAAATATGCCCAATATACAAGTAAACTTTTTCTGCTATTTTACCATTTTCTTTAAAATCAATCATTTGAAGAAAAATATTACCTTTTTTTAAAAAAAAAAAAAAACACAAGACTTCAGTGCTCAAAGTCCCAATAAATGTTGATTTTCACATCCTGAAGCTGAGATTTCAGATCAGTATCAGTCCTTATGATTCCAGCTAATCAGAATACCAGGTTTAAACAACAGATGTAATTTAATTCCAAAATGAAAGATAATATGTTAGCAAAAAAAAAAAAAATTTCTGAATGATTCCTGAGACACTGTAAGGCCTATGACATGTTCATTTAGAGATTACAACAAGGTGGCATAAATCAAATTCACCTGAATGCTAACATAAACAGACCTTTTCTAGAGACCTTGCAAGTGAACTGACAGACAGAATGAGATAAATATTAGACTTTTAAGGATAAGAGTACTTATTTTACCAAGAAGTATCATTCATGGCTTAACCTGCCTTTCAGCATCAAGCTTTGCAAAACTGTATCATTTTTTGAAAGTTCACTTGAAGAAATGAAAGTAAGTGAAATTGAGTGCAGATGGTCAACCCTATGAATAAAGTCCGGTCCTATTCTGCTCTAACTCAAGGCATCGTTGTTAGCAATGGCTGTTTCCTCCTCACTGATTTTTAAATTATTTCTATGTTGTAATTTAACTATTTAAATGTGGAAGCCACTAGATAAAGTAGGTTGGCTGTTCTGCCTTGAAAACTAACCAGCTACAACCAATGGTGCCTATGGTATTTTAAATTGATTTTGGATAGAAGTAAAACAAGAAAAAATTGTTACAAAAAGTTAAAGGGGCAGGTTTTTGTTGGTAGGCTGAGCCAACCAGCCACCCCAGATTCACGGAACTCCTTCCTATTCTGAAGGAAATCCCTGCCTTCCTCTCCCTGCCAACCACCTTCCTGCTACTCTTCCTCCCTCAGGCTGATGCCCTATTTAATTCTAGCTCTGGGAGATCTTTTCCCAGGACCAACATCCTACTTGGTACTGGAATAAGCCTGCTTGTTTACCCACTTCCTTAAGTAATTCTATATATTCTGTGAAATGTAAATCAGAAAATACACAGACTATTCTAATCAAATATCCAAATACATTCTAGGTCTGTGCCAGCTTATACTCACTCATTCTACAGTGACTACAGTCCTCCATTGAAAGTCTTCAGGAATAAGACAAGAACAAAAAGAAACAAGCTGCATTAATAAATGCATATACAGTACAATCCTTTTCCAAAACCAGGCAGGTATAAAGAGCCACAATTTCGTCAAGACAGCCAGAGTGACTGGATGGACCAGTGGGATCCACTATAAAGGAGTTTCGTCAGTCATTTGATTGACAACTCTGATTTCCATCAGCTTTATTTAAAAGCTTGACATGATATTCTATTGCTATTCTTTCATACTCTAACACATTTATTTTTTTTTTACTTTTTTTTAAATGAACTCTAAGGTGAGTGTTTCCTGTGAACCTGTTAAATGCCAAAATTCTCACACACTGTGGCTTCCAAAAAGGCACAGATAGCCTGGCTGGGGATGCCCTGTTCAGGAAAAAAACCTCATGTTATGCCTACAACAAAAGACCACAGCTGCTAGGATTGTCTTTACATACCAGACAGCCTTCTGATTTTGCTCAATAATTGTCTCTGTAAAAGCATTTTCCTATGTTCATACAGAAAAAAATGGGGTTTTTTTGTAATTATTTTCCTTGAGAAAATAATAGCCACATTTTTGGGGAAGGGGAAGGGCAGAAGCCAGGGAAGAGAAGATGGGGCAGGGGGAGGCAATATCTCTGATTTGAGTAGCAGCTTATTTATTACGCTTGTTCATACCTTTTAAAATCCTGTGTTCTTCCCAATCTATAGAACAAACTTGAAAAAGCAATTAAGTTCTAATCTGGGAGCCTCTGAAACATTGCACATTTCTATAGCTGTTATATTGAATCTATCCTTTATAAATGCGACTACAGCTGTTCCCAGCACCAGTGTCTGCCTCAAGTTTGGATTTTACTATTTGCTGTTATTTTCAGGTTATTGCTACCAGCAGGAGATAATAAATTGGGTTCTAAAATATCTTGTTTCCCTATATATTTTTACTGAAGTAGTGATTTGGAGGAAGAGTGGAAAAGGAAATCAGCTCTGCTATGATTATTTCCATAATGTAATTTTAAGCCAATAAGTTATCTGTGAATATAGTCATATGGATGCATACTTGCAGGGATACATACCAACACTATCTTAAAAAGCAATAATGACCAGACAGAGGGAGAAACGTATAGGATGGCATTTTGGTTGCAATGATTCCTTTCAAATTTAGTTTTTCAACTCATCAGGAGGTAAATAACACTTTTTTTCCTAGACTTGAACTTCATTTACCTTTTACAATGAATAAACAAGTATTTCTGATATTAATACCTAAATTAGACATTTTTAAATATCACTAACATATACATGCAAATGTATACATGCAAAGAATATCAGGACTGTCTCTTACATACTACCATATTTTAGCTAATACTCAATTCTCAAGGCAATAAATCCAGAAGTTTATCATACCTTTTGGCAAAACTAAGCCAAATTAATGATTGCTAGGGTACAAGAAAGGGATGGCATATCTTTGTGAAAGTTCTTATTGCCTTTGCCAGGACTTAAAAACCAAAGACACTTGGATCAATACAAGGGGAAATTACTTGAGAAAATCACAAAGGAACAAGTTGTGTTATAAAAACACCTACATGTGTAAAACATAATAGGGATAAACCCAGCACAACATTTGTAAGTAATTTCTCTAACCTGAAAGACTTGTTTTTGTAGCAAAAACAAAAGATTAGATGAAGGAGAAGTGGTGAATGTAATTTAACTAGCCTGGAAATGTCACCAACCCTAGTCCAGTGCAACCCTTCATTTAAAAAGTCTAATGCGCCCCTTTTCTGATGGAAAAGGTTGCTTTATGCTTTTAAGAAGAATCAATTATTTTTGAAGCCACAAGGCACAAAGTTGAAGTCCTATTTTCAATTAAAATCTGTTTAATAGACAAGAAACAAAGTATGAATAGAAGGCTAATCACAGCATGAAAGAGGGTTAATAGCAGATTGCCAAGAGCAACAACGGTTTAATGTATTTCAGAACAATAAAGATCCTCACAATTTTATTAAAGTGACACAGACTATTAGCACTCCATGGAATAAAAAGTTTCCCTGTGTCCATATCCTCTGCTGTACAATAGGATCCTGATCCCAACTGGGATATTGTGTTGTTTCACTGCAGCAGAATTTGTAGAGATTACTGATGGAAACCACCCATCTGGCAAAAATTCAGCATGAACATGGGGCCTCCTGCCAGCAGCCACATGACTGAGCACATCAGAGGTGACAAGTCATTAAGAGTGTCCACGAAAAACGGTGGAGGCAACAGGGATGCTGGAATGCCAGTGAGGGCAATGATGGGACAGAAGAAGGGATTCTCCAGCATGTTTGAGCTTCGTTGGCTCTTATCCAGACAAGGCCACCAGATGCTGGAAATCACTGGGACAGATGGCCAGAGAGGGTGAGAAGTCACAAGGAAAACAGGGAAGAAAACCCAAAGGTGGGGATATACTTCATGAAAGCCTCGTAAGAGTGTGAACTTTGCCCATCGCCAAGGTTAGCGTTCATTCAACAGGAAGGAGCACCAAGGAGCAGAAACGTGTCCTGTGAATGCCACATCACCGCGGGAGCCCTGGCACCACGAGAAAAGCACCGCTATGGGGGTGTCTGTGATACTGGGACATGGTACGGGTGGACCAAAGCTAGGCTAGTGACAGGCTAAGCTAGTCCCCTCACGGCATGGCCGTGCCAGCTCGGACCCAGAAAGCAGTGGGGCTGCTCCAC